TGTGTAGTTATGCTTGACGTTGTGAGTTTAATACGACAAATTATTGTGTGGACCATGGTCTACACAGTGTTATGTGGACCATAACTAAAAGTACATTTTTAATATACTAAATGTGCATTATTTTTGTACTAAATGTACATTATACAATATAATGTACACTCAATACAAAAATAATGTACATCCCCTGAATACAATGTACATTATTTTTGTACTGAATGTATATTATTTTGCAGTATACAAAATATGGTCCACACAACTTGTATGGACCATGGACCATGGTCCACACAATAATGATTGGAATATGTCAACTGCATAGTATAACAATTGAGATTTTTTATTTAGGGCCCAACTCCACACAATGCAATAGTTATGCTGTGGAACCATGTTCACCATGCACATGGTGAATACAGGATAAATCCATAATTTTTAAGTTGTAGATTCATAATTTCTATACTGTAGATTCATAATTTCTATGCTGTAGATTCATAATTTCTATACTGTAGATTCATAATTTTTGTACTGTAGATTCATAATATCTGTACTGCGAAGACGAAATAATGCGATTGCGAAGAGAGAAACGTCATTAACAACAAATGAAAAACAAAATTATGAATCTACAGCATAAAAATTATGAATTTACCCCTTTGTTCACCATGCGCATGGTGAATATGTTTGCACAACATAATTTGCGCACACAATTCTTTTGGACTAGAATGGCCCAGTTATATTCGTGTGAATTTGAGCCCATGCCCTACCTTTCTGGGCCCAATAAGGATTGACCTTATCATAGTTGACTCAGACGTTATGCCATGGAACCATGTTCACCATTCATGGTGAACACGGTTCTAACGGTGTTAGTACACCGTTATCTTTTAAAAAAAAAAATTAATTGCGTGACTTTTCTTCTTTATTTTCACATTTTGCGGTTTCACTTTAATTTGAAGTGAACAAAGATTTCGGACATTCATAAATTATGAATTCATGCCTGCACATTCACTTTGGAACCATGCCTACACATTCCCGTCCGAAATCACGGACATTCATAAATTATGAATCCATGGCTGCACATTCACTTTGGAACCATGCCTACACATTCACTTTGGAACCATGAGATTATGAATTTTCTGTTATAAGATTATGAATTTTCTGTTATGAGATTATGAATTTTCTGTTATGAGATTATGAATTTTCTGTTATGCGATTATGAATTTTCTGTTATGAGATTATGAATTTTCATTACATTCATAATTTCGGACATTCATAAATTATGAATTCATGCCTGCACATTCACTTTGGAACCATGCCTATATATTCCCGTCCGAAATCACGGACATTAATAAATTATGAATCCATGCCTGCACATTCACTTTGGAACCATGCCTACACATTCACTTTGGAACCATGAGATTATGAATTTTCTTTTATAAGATTATGAATTTTCTGTTATGAGATTATGAATTTTCAGTTGTGAGATTATGAATTTTCTGTTATGCGATTATGAATTTTCTGTTATGCGATTATGAATTTTCTGTTATGAGATTATGAATTTTCATAAAATTCATAATCTCATAACAGAAAATTCATAATTTGATCAAACGCGCGCCGTTAACTCCACATCCGCGAAATTTTTTTTTTTGGCCTAAAAACGACGTCGTTTTGTCTTGTGTTCACCATTCTCGGTGAACACGATTCCATGGCATAATTTGCGTGCATTGCGTCCGTGTTTTACTTGGCCCAGTGCTGACTAAATCGGGGCAAATTATTGTGTGGAAACGACGTTGTTGAATTTTATGAGTTAGAATAATGTATATTATAATTTAGAATAATGTACATATGTGTTAATAATTTACATGTGTTAAAATAATGTACTTTATGTGTTAGAACAATAAAACTTATGTAATAAAATAATGTATTTTATGAGTTAGAATAATGTAAATTATGTTTTAGAATAATGTACATTATACTATAGAATAAGGTAAATTATGAGTTATAAAAATGTATTTTACAGTTACTCGCGTGAAAAATATTTTACACGAAATGACGTTGTTTTTTTATCACGATGTATGCAATAATGTGACTAAATAACTCACCCTCTTTTGTAGATTGTTTTGTTTTTTTTTTTTTGTTTTTTTTTTTTTTGGTGGGATACACGGAAAGAATATAACAAACGGATTATAAAAATTTAAGCGAAACAACTCTTACAGCACGTTTGGTTCACGGAATGAATTTTGAGGTAATAGGAATGTTATTCCATAAGGAATGGAATATGCAAGGAATATAATAGGAATTGTATTTTATTGTTTGATTCGCAGAAGAAATAGACTTTAGAAATTATATTACAGTGTTTGGTTGATTTAAGGAATAGAAATGAAATATGTTTTAAAAGACATAAATACCCTTATAAAAATATGTGATGGTGGCGATGGTGGTGGTGGAAGTGGTGGCGGCGGTGGTGGCAGTGGCGGTGGCAGTGGTAGGGTGGTGGTGCTGGTGGTGGTGGCGACGTCGGCGGTTGTGGTGGTGGTGGGCGGTGGCGGTGGTGTGGGATGGTGGTGGCGACGGCGACGGCGGCAATGGTGAAATAGAAAATAGGGAAAATGACATTTTTTCCCCCTGAGTTATATACTTATAGCACTTTTTCCCCTTGAATTATTCATGTAAGCACATTAGCCCCCTCAATTATTTTAAAAGTGGCGGTTTTCCCCCCTAATATATTTTATTGACATTTCTACCCTTAAAGTAAACATTTTATTTATTTTTCCTTTTCAATAAATTATTGCGTATACATAAGGATGACCACGGTTCGATTCGAATTCAACCAGACACTATAGCAATCGAATTAAAAATTTCCGATTATGATTCAGATCCAGAACCCAATATTTTAATTTCAATTCATTAAAATTATGAATCGAAAAAACTGGATCCTGAACCGTGAACCGGCGGTTCTAGATCCGGTTAGCGATTTTGAACCGTCTTTATTTTTAAAATTTTAATTTTTTATTTTAAAATAGTCTAAATTCAACAATAAATGTATTTTATTTTTTTCAGTTTGGACCATGAACCGGCCGTCCCGGTTCACGATTTTAATAAAATCTAAATATCGGGTTTCGATTCTAAATTGTAATTAGAATATTTCGGTTTGATTTATATAGTGTCTGTTTGGTTTGAACCAACTTGTGGTCATAATTTGTTAGAGAAAAAAAAATAAATGAAATACTCCCTCTGTCCCATTTTGCATGTCTTACTTTCCTTTTTAGTTTGTCCCAAAATGTTGTCCTCTTTTCAAAATTGAACATCACCATCATTCTACTTTTTCCCAAATTACCCTTATGACTTTTGCTTTTATTTCCAAAAGTGAAGGGCATAATTGAAAAATACATAGCATTTACTTTAATTCCTTAAAAAGCGTGCAAAAAGCAAATGAGACAACCAATTCGGGACAGAGGGAGTATTTATTTTAAGGGTAAATATGTCCATTTAACATTTCAGGGGGAAAAACAACCACTTGAATAATTCAGGGGGAAAAAGTGCTATATGTATATAACTTAGGAGGAAAAAGTGCCATTTTCCCTAGAAAATAAATTTAATTGAGGGGTAAAATATGAACAGAGGAATAAGTCTATTATTGAGAATACTATGTCATTTCAGGCATATTATGTGAACCAAACAGCCCATTATTGTGTCATTTGTAATCAGTAAACCAATCCTTTCCAAAGGATCATCAAAAGCTTGCAAACCCAAAGAGGAGAAATTATGGGACGAGGCCATTTAATCAATTGTACTGATTCCGTCACATTAGTACTGATTCCGTCACATTTTATTTGTCTTACTTATTATGCATTGGTCAAACTAATTTTTTCTTTTTTGTTTATTTTTGTTAGTATATTTTCTTATAACTTTTGAATTTAATTTTTTATGTTTAATAGTACTTTTAACGGAATTTTTAAATGAGTGAATTCCATTTTTGGTCCCACTGTTATAGGGGCGTTTCCAATTTTAGTCCACCTTAATTTTTTGTGCCACTTTGCAACCCTGTTATTGAATGTGTTCCACTTTTAGTCCACCGTTAATATTTCCGTCAAGAGGCCGTATAACTCAAGGGTATTTTGGTCTTTTTATGGTTGTCTCTTCTCTTTTAATCTAGGCGCTTCGTCCTCCTCCTCCGATATTCGAAGATGGCTCTTCGAACAACAAGAATGGGAAGCCAAAGCTACATCGTTTCGTTTGTTCCAACATGGGCCGGCGAGGTTTCTTAGGTTTTAGGTTTAATGTTCTCATTTCTTTTAGTCAAACATAGTCTTGGATGAGAAGAAAGATCAAAATATCCCTAGATTACACGGCCTCTTGATGGAAATACTAACAGTGGACTAAAAGTGGAACACATTCAATAATAGTAGTCATAAAGTGGCAAAAAAAATTAAGGTGGACTAAAATTGGAAACACCCATATAACAGTAGGACCAAAAATGAAATTCACTCTTTTTAAATATATAAATTTTACATACTAATTCTAAACTTAATATTATGAAAAATTAAATTATAAATAACTTCCGTCAAACTTTATTAACCGAACCCAACACAAAATAAGACAGAAGGAGTAGTTTATTGTATCTTCTAATAGTGACAAGAAAGTTGGTTCTGAATTTCACTAACCTAAAACCTTTATTCTGAATTGCCCAAAGCTCAAATATTGTGTGATTGATTTAAATTTTAGCCTTTGAAATATTAATGTGTTAACTGAAGAACCAAAAGATGAAAAACAATAGCCAATGGATCAGAGCTAGAATTTTCAATTCATTGAAAGAGGAAAAAGGAAGTTGAAAGAAGAAACATTTGTTATCAGTATTCAATGGTGAGATGTACAACTACATACAGAGCTAGGAATCTACCATCCATATCTGCTGCCAAAACAGTGAGGAATTCCTATTCATAGACACAATTCTGATCTTGTATCTAATGTTCTTGCAGATGGGTAAGAACCCAGTTATGTCCATTCCTGGATTATGCAAGAATTCCCATGAATGTTGCAGAGATGAAAAAGAGCAGTACAGAGAAGATGACAGGGAACTCAGTGCACAAACACAGTGAAGCAGAAGTTTTGTTGTTAGTAATAATAACCTCTGCAGGTGGTAACACTGGTGCTGCCATCAACATTTCTTGGGGGGGATTATTGCTGCTTGGTGGAGCTGCCAATGGAGGTGGTGATATGATGATCTGATCACCATAAGTAGAGTACTTGAGAATCCTGTTTATGCCATGGACCGAGAAAGCGGGAGTCTGGAAGAGATCAGGATGGGTGATCCTGGCATCATCAATGGTGAAGTTGGCCAAAGAGTTGTTGGTGATGAGAATGGATTTGGAGGGCAAGAGCGTGGGGAGGCGATCGTGAAGGTTGAGGCGTTGGAGATGGGAGAAGGGGAGGCGTTGGGGAACGATATGGTAAGGGACGAGCAAAGGGTCGAAAATGAGGCCAGCAGGGTTAGTGGAGGCTGTGGGGAGGTGGGAAATGGCATCATTTCCAGGGATGAAGAGAGTGGCAGAGAGTGGAAGGGAAGAGACATTGGCAGATGAGAGCAAATTCGCCCACCCCGCGAAATCCCCGGCCCCTCTCAAAGCCCTAATGATGTTGATGATATACTGATCACGAAGTGGTGGTGGTGGTGATGGTATGGTTGTCGTCGAGAAAGGTGTGGGCGGAGGAAACGCCCCCGCCCCCGCCCCCGAGGGGGAATCGTTCGAGGAGGCTAAAGACACAAACCCCAGTTTAGTTTCATTGATAGGGCTGAGCTGCATTATCTCAGTGAAACCAGAATCCAAAGACACAAAACTGGCCTGAGTTTCATCCTCTTTTATCACTGGCTCCACTGCTGTTTCAGGTGGTGGGGTGAGTGATCCATCCATGGCAGAAAAATCTGAGAAAAACTCCTCCAAATGCACCAATTCACCCCTCTGGATTCCACTAATTCTTCCATCTTTTATCTCCAAACGCACTGTTCACAGTTCACCAACAACAGAAACAACAAAATCATAGATCAGAAAGAGAACAATTTGCAGAAGAAATCAAACTTTTCTTGAACTTCCGATTCCAGAAACCCAAAGAACAACTCTAGAGATTAAGCAATACCCAAACAATAAATTATCACAAAATTAAAGAAAATCAGTACCCAGAAAGTAGAAATACGAATAAACACATCCGGATTAGCCAATAAACAGAAAAAGAAAAAACACCCAAAACTGTTAATTAAAGGAGAGAGCATTAGATTATCAGACACAATTAATAAGCAAGAACAAGAAGAGTGGAGAATAGAAGAAGAGAGTGAGAAAATAAAAATATATTACCGGAGTTAAAGATTAGCCACCAGAGGAAGAAGAGACAGAGCATGGCGACCATTAGAATGAGTTTGGGTTTGGGTATGCTGAGACACCACAAGCTGCGATAGCGGCGGTCTTGAATCTGAAACTGGAAGACGGTTGTTTGGAATGAACTACTGCCCTCCATCGTCTACCTTCTTCGAGACTGCACTTTGATGATGAATGAACAATCGCAGCAGAGAAAGAGAAAGAGAAAGAGAAAGAGAAAGAGAGAGAGAGAGATTTCTTGAAGTGTGTATCAATGGGTTTCACTGAGAGTTTGAGAAGACGGTTGTGTGGAATTCTGTTAGTCGGAGGCAGTTATGCACTCAATATTTCACACCCAAGAATGGCGCCAACCTTTATTCGCGTCTGCCAATTTGGGTTTATATATATATATATATATATATATATATATATATATATATATATATATATATATACATATATATATATTCATGTCATAACAATTAACAAACACCTCTTAATGTGAGAACATGCAGACTTCTTCAATAATACACGATAAGTTCTATATCAATGCACAATACGGCTCCTAGACATGTGGTGGGTTTGTACCGTGCATCCGTGTAGTAATTTGCGTACATTCATGTAATAAATGTGGTGCATCGTGTAGTAGCCGCGCATCCGTGTAGTAATTTCCGTACATTCATGTAATAAATGTGGTGCATCGTGTAGTAGTCGCGCGGCTGGAGTAGTTATTGTGCATTACTGAAGCCTGCATGTTCTCCCATTAAAATGTGTTCTCACCTGAACGAGACCATATATATTATTTTCAGATTGTCGAAATATATCTTGAACTCCATAAACTCGTCCCTACACCCACGAAGAGATAAATGGAACCAATTAGTTCCAAGACTCAATAAAAACTTTACAGTCTTACCCACAAAGAGTCCAATCCAAACTCAAATCCCTATGTTCGCAAATCTCATTTACTATTTATCAATAAAATTAATTTTTTGAGTGAGAAAGGATAAATATATTATTTTTTTTGGATCAATTAAAACATACCATATCAACAAAGAGTAAAAAATTAAATAAATAAATAAATAGTGAGAGTAAATATATTATCACTCTGTTTCAATATAGAAATATCAGTATATCATATTGCATTCAGAATAGCTTTTATGTTTAGGTATACAAATAGCTTTCATGGTATGCAGAACAGAATCAGCATATCCTTTCTTCAAAACTTTCAAGGGACAGGATTCTTGGATACAAACATGAATCCATCAATTCCCCTTGCATTCAACTTCACAAAGACCCAATAAGAGACAAGGGAAAGAAAAATCTTACATCCATAAGAAACAACTGGACAAATATTACACAAATTGGGTCAACTTTTAAACTAAAATCACACAAGTAGTGATGAAACAAGCCAAGAGAGAGAGAGAGAGGTTGGAAAAGGGTGATGATATCAACTCCTTTATTCTGGGTTGAAATTCAAAGCTTCCCTCCATATGAGTTCTTTTATATCTTCCTCATCTAGGGATGCTTGTTCAAAATCAAAGACAAAAGGAGAAGGGGAGGTGGGCTCCTCGTTGATTTCATGCAGACTTGATAAAAATGGATGGTTCAGGGCGTCCTCAACTTTATGATCATAAGAAGTGGACGAGTAATTAGAACAAATTTTATCGAAATGTGAAGCATTTCAGGTATTAGAGGGTATCGAAAGGCATACCAGTAATGCGTTTAGCTGGATCAAATACCAGCATCTGCTCTGCGAGATCAATGGCTAAGGAAGACACATCTGGGAACTTCTGGGAAAATGGTTGTTTTGGAACATGAGGAAGCTGCTTGACATATCTCCGAGCATTGTCACTCCTAAGGAATCCGAGATCGGAGTCTTCTGGGGTACCTAATAGCTTTTTCACAGGAAAGAGGACCGGTAACAAGAATGTTAAGACTTAATCACTGCTTAATACAATCAATAAAGTAAGGTACAACCCCAGCCAAGTTAGTAGGGTTGTTGGTTTAGTAACCACAAGGTTCCAAGTTCAACTTCCAGTGGGAGCAACCTATTGACCTTGTTGGTTTGAGCTGATCAGCTATGGGCAACCTAAGATGGTTTACCTCCTTGTGGTCCTTTGCCAGCTAAGGTCACAAGACCGGGGTTTACCTAGTGCACACCCTCAGGCCTCAGATAGTGACTGCGGCTTTCCCTCCTCACCCAAAAAAAAATAAATAAATAAATAAAGTCACATGTTTATACAATTTAATTAAAGACACCTCGTATACATACCTCAGTTATAAGGGCTAATTGCTGAACATAGTCTCTGCCTGGAAAGAGAGGTTCTTTTTTAATGATTTCCATCAAAATGCAGCCAACAGACCATATATCAATTGCTGCAGTATATTCTGAACAGTTGAGTAACAACTCAGGAGCCCTGTACCACCTAGTGACAACATACTCTGTCATAAAATCTGTCTCTGAGGTGGTTCTCGCAAGTCCAAAATCACAGATTTTGAGGTCACAATTTGCATCAAGTAGCAAGTTGCTTGGTTTCAGATCCCGGTGCAGAACATTAGCAGAGTGAATGTACTTTAGTCCCCTCAATAACTGATACAGAAAATACTGCAAAACACAAAAGAGCACTACTAAGCAGTTTGGTGAAAACTAAAAAGATCAACACATCTGGCACTATATGGGTTTGTGAACAAATACTCTGAGACATGGAAAGTTTTGGATCAACTAATAAGGTTAAAATCGCAAACCCACCTTTTTACTTTTAGTATCCAAAAGGAAGAAGTATGTACATTCATTCTTGTAAAGAAACACAAAAAATGTTTAACAGTTAATAACCAAGTAGTAAAATGCCCAATAGAATACGGTATGTGGCTTGAAGTATCCATGGTGAATACAGAGGGTGGTGAAAATAACAGATTTTCACTAATCTAGTAAATATTTCGTTAATTGACGACTTTTAAGCACCCCACAATCTGTAAAGCTAAAGGATGCTCTTTTCAGATCACACCAGTGAATTTCCCACACATTATTTAAAGTTTTGTAAAGTTACTCAAACTAAGAAATAGAAAACCATAACTATCTTATGTTTCCTTGAGCATCAATAGTTTAATGGACTAAAATTCTTCTCAGTTCAACAGGAATTGATGTGAGTAAAGGTTAAAATGGCTTACCAAATCCTTCTATCCCACAAAACACATGCAGCAAGTATGAGAGTAAAAACGTTTTAGTATTTTCTGTTCTGTAGAATGTGAAAATTTATGACATAATCTAGCAGATGAACCCAAAATCCATAGTGAAATTTGTCTTAACATTGTGTAGTGTGTGTGCATCTATATCCAATCGAGAACATATGCAGATGAATCATCAAGATACATATACAATGAGTTATAATCATGACTAGACATTTGCCAAGTACCAATTTGCAAAGTAAACAGAATATTCAACTTTGGCATGCCAACAAAATATATAGGACAAACATACTTGACAATGATCTTCCGTGAGTGTCTGGGAAGAGCGTATTATTTGGTGCAAATCAGTATCCATTAGCTCATAGACAATATAAACATCATTGAACGTCTCTCTCTCGGGTGGCCGTATTATATCCTTGATTTTGATGATCTGTAGAAGGAATATACTAGCAAGTTCAAATTTTCAATCAACTATAACCTACAGAAAAGTAAACAAAACATCCATTTGCATAAATAGAAATTAACCAATCAACCAATGTAAGAAAAAAGACGAAAGCACCAGATTTTTAGTATGCAAATAAATTACATTCTCATGATCCATGTGAGAAAGAAGCTTGATCTCGCGAAGAGTTCTTTTGGCATCAATCCTATTGTCGAATGCATTCCCAATTTTCTTGATCGCAACCTCTTCCTTGGTTACAGCGTTTCTGGCACAGCTGCAACAACATAACATAAAAAAAAATTATACAAACTAAAACAAATCCGAAATCAACACAGATGAAACGGGGCAATCTCAATCAAGTTAGTCAGATTGTTAACTTGATAACCACAAATTACAAGTTTGACTCTAATGGGAGCGGCCTATAAGCCTATTAGGCTTCTTGGTTTGCCTAACCTAGTCTACCTAGCTGTAGTCCTTTGCCAATAGGGTCATAAGGCGTGGTTTATCCTGCAAACCCTCGGAATCTCGGATAGTGGTTGTGGTTTCCTCGTCATAAAGAAACCACAGATCAAGCAAACCAAACAAACTATACTCCACACGCCACCAAATCGAGAAGAGAGTACTAATTTCACCTTCCCAAGCAAAGCAGATGCATAAAACTCATCAATTAATCATGTAAGCAGCTAAAACGGAAGCGAGAAGTTGAGAGAGAGATCGAGATTACCAAACCATGCCGTAAGCACCACGGCCGACGGGCTGAATAGGAGGGATATACTTGGCGGGGACATGGAAGAGGTTTCCGAGCACATTATACTGAGTATATTTGCCACCGAAAATGGGAACTCCTCTGATTTCTGCTGCAATGGGATTGGCCTCATTTTCCATTCCCTGGTTGCCCATTTCTGCTCTCTACTGGCGACAGAGCAGATTGGAATTCAGATTTCAGAGCAAAAGGGAATACCCAAACAGCTCCTTTTTCTGGGAGGAAAAAGAGGGGAAAGTCGGTTTGAATGGAATGGAATGGAATGGGGACTAAATGGATTCTCTTTCTTGCAAGTTTGAAATTCGAATCGCAGCGCTTTCCCTTTCTCTTTCACTTTCTCCCAAAACTTTTAGGGGGCGTTTGGTTCAGGTTATATTACATAACCAAGGGAATGTGACATTCCCGAGCTTACATTCCTGTGTTTGGTTCATATTCTCGGAGGGAATATAACATTCCCAGGGAATGAAACATTCCCTCCACATAGGATTTTGAAGGGAATGTGATTCCCTTCATTTTTTAAAGTTATGTAAGATAACCTTGGATATTTATAAATTTTGTCATTTTAATTCTATATAGTATAATATCCTTAACATATATATATATATATATAAGATAACCCTAAACCAAACATGATTATATTACATACCTCAATTTTAACCAAACACAGGAATCTAACATTCCCAGTAATCTAACATTCCCAGCAATCTAACATTCCCTAAGGTAATCTAACATTCCGTGAACCAAACGGCCCCTTACTTTTGTCCATTTTCTCACTTCCCAGTCAGCGCAGATATAAATAGACAGCGAGAGCAGTAAATTCTTGCCCACATAACGGAATTTCCTTGCTCTCAGAGCCCCCAACCCAACCTAACAACATAATAGAGCAGTAGCCTACAGACTCAATTAACCGGTTCAGTAAATAATATTTGAAAAAAGAGATTAAGGTTACAGTGTGGGACTTTGACAGCGATAGTGTAGAATTATGCTTAAAATGGATAGATCCCTTATGCGCTTCAATGAGTTACCGTGATTTACATCATCCCCAATGCTCTGTCGGAAAGTTCGGAAAAGATAATAGAGTAGTAAATTATTGTAACTCAGGGGTCCATTAAACGGGAGGACTAATTTCTAGTGCATGAGAATAGTAAATGAGGATGTAACGTATTTTTAACGATAATTTATTTTTTTCAAAATTAAAAGTAATGTTTAACGTGACATATTATAATTATTACGGAGTAATTATTATATTAAGAAGTCGAGATAACCAATCATGACACAGTACGTTACAACGTTAGAGGATATATATATATATATATATATATATATATATATATATATATATATATATATATATATGTATAGTATTTTTCTTTGTGACGATCATATTTTAAATTGTTATTCTCAAAAGGTTAAATTCCCAACTCTGCCTGATAAAGCATTTGGGATGATGAAGTAAATCATAATAACTCAGCTAACACAGAGGTTAGACTTTTGCTTATTGCGCACAAGGAGCTCCCTCACTTTGAAAGATTGCTCCCACACCGCCGTTGGTAAGACTCAATCCCGAATCATTGTTCCCAAATTTTACTCATGTGATCAACTGAACTTCATTGTTGAAGGAATCATATTTTACCCACTAGACCACCCATTTTTATAACAAATTATGTTACTTTTGCCATCCAATATAAATATCATTTTTTCTTCTAATACTAATTTTTAATGTTTATCTCGTGATATTGTAATAAATATTTTATGTTTATTGATTGTCGGTATATAAAGGAATAAGATTCAAATTAGCCACTGAACGAAATGTGAAAGTACAATTTGGATCCAAAAAAAAAAAAAAAAAGTGCAATTAAACCATTCAACATTTCAAATATATGAAATTTCACCTGATAGCAAGTTAACACCTCATATAGTAGGTTGCATGTTTACGTGGACAATGATCCCCAACCTTCTCTCTCTTGTTACTCTTTCATCCATGTTCACTTTATATTTCTTAAAAATCATGCATAATCCCCAAATAAACCTCTGACGTAGATGCTTTAACAGCTCTATAGTGATTTTCAAAAAAAAAAAAAAAAAAAAAAAAAAAAAAAACAGCTCTATGGTGATATCTCACTGGCCTATTGAGCTGCAGCAACAACCCTGTGTGTGGTGCATTAAATGTCATCTAAGACAAATTATATTGTGGACTTCGGTGCACATTGCAATGTCTATCACTAATAAATGTTCATTTTTCGTATATTGAATGTTAATTTTCTTCTCCTAATCCCGGTTGACTAACAGAACATCTGGAAGAATGACTTAGCATATAGGACCAAATGACGGTGCACACAAAGGATCAACCTTAGTCTCTTCTCTCAAATACTGTCTACTAAACTAGTGAGCTAAACATGTGCGAGCATATTGGATGGTAATTTTAAATGTACTGAAAGTTTACTTTTTAGATACTATACCTAAAAATGAACCTTTTAATATACTAGAAGTAAACATTCAATATATTAAAAATGAACCTTCAATATAATAGAAATGAACATTATGTTAGTATGTAGTCCCACAGTATAGTATAGCAATCGTTATACCGTGCACCAGGGCGCACATATCACTGTGCGCCCCACGCCTCCCAAAACGACGTCGTTTTGTTAAGTTGTTAAAAAAAAATTCTCTATTTCGAATGCACATAAACTCATAACAGAATCCACATAAATTCATAAGAGAATACACATAATCTAACATAATACATAATACACATAAACTTTTAACTGAATACACATAATGGGGTTTGGTTAACATAATACACATAAACTCTTAACTGAATACACATAAACTCATAACACAATACACATAAACTTTTAACTGAATACACATAATGGGGTTTGGTTAACATAATACACATAAACTCTTAACTGAATACACATAAACTCATAACACAATTGGCCCGTTTGGTTCACGGAATAGGCCGGGAATGGCATAGCATTCCAAGTAATAGGTCTATTCCTTTGTTTGGTAACCATTTCTATTACCAGGAATAATATTCCTAGTAATAGCCTATTACCTCAAATAAGGTAATAGCTATTACTAGGGCCCCCTGGTTGTCGCAAATTATGCCCTGGACCCGTGTCCACAATGTATTGTGAACACGGGCCCAAAACAACGTCGTTTTTCAAAAAAAAAAAAAAAAAAAAAAAAAAAAAAACGCGTCATTTAGTTATTAAAAAAAAAAAAAATCGCGCGTGTTTTGCTGTTAACGGCGTTATTTTTTTTTGGATTATGAATGTATAGTTATGCCGTTATGAATGTACAGTTATGCAATTATGAAATTATGAACACATAGCTCTAACATTATGAACTTACAATTATGAATATAGTGATAAAATTATGACCATGGAGCTTTAAAATTGTGAATATAGAGCTTCGAAGATTATGAATGTACAGTTATGGAGTTATGAATGTACAGTCATAGAGTTATGAATCTACAGTTATGGAGTTATGAATCTACAGTTATGAGATTATGAATCTACAGTTATGGAATTATGAATGTACAGTTATTGATCGAATTATGAACAAAGAGCTCTGACATTATGAACTTACAATTATGAACATATAGTGATAAAATTATGAACATAGAGATCTAAAATTGTGAACATAGAGCTTCCGAAAATTATGAATGTACAATTATGGAGTTATGAATGTACAGTTATGGAGTTATGAATGTACAGTTATAGAGTTATGAATGTACAGTTATAGAGTTATGAACGTACAGTTATAGAGTTATGAATGTACAGTTATTAACATATAGTAATAAAATTATGAACATATACTCCTATAATGAAGCGGTCTGAAATAAAAAAAAAAAAAAAAAAAAAAAAAAAAAAAAAAAAAAAAAAAAAGGAGATAACAGTGCCTAACGGGATTGTTACCCGTGTCCAGCATGCATGCTGGACACGGGTCCAACACATAACGATTGTCTGGGTATTAGCCTATTACTGAACGCTCAGGAATAGATTTTAGAATATATTTTCTTTTTTACCCTTTTCTTTAACCTAATTTCCTTCAAAAAAAAAAAAAAAAAAAACCTAATTTTTTTATTCTATATATAAATTTTATCCTATTTCACCATCATCATCGCCACTACCACCATCACCGCCGCCGCTGCCACCACCACCACCACCGTCGTCGTCGCCACCACCACCACCATCGCCACAACCGTCGCCGCCCCCACCACTGCCACCGCCACCACCAGCACCACCACCGCCACCACCACCATCACCACCACCGCCACCACCACCAGAACCACCACCCAGCAGCACCACCGCCACCACCACCATCACCGCCGTCGTCGCCACCACCACTACCGCCACAACCGTCGCCGCCCCCACTATCACTGCCACAACCGTCACCGTCACCACCACCACTGCTGCCGCTACCACCACTACTACCACCCCAGCACCACCACCACCGCCGCCACCACCATCGCCACCACCATCACCACCGTTGCCCCCACCACCACCACCACCACCATCACCATCGCCACTATCACATATTTTTATAAGGGTATTTATGTCTTTTAAAACATATTTCATTTCTATTCCTTAAATCAACCAAACACTGTAATATAATTCCTAAAGTCTATTCCTTCCGCGAACTAAACAATAGAATACAATTCATATTCTATTCCTTGCCTATTCCATTCCTTATGGAATAGCATTCCTATTACCTCAAAGGCTCAAAATTCATTCCATGAACCAAACGTGCTGAATACACATAAACTTTTAACTGAATACACATAATGGGGTTTGGTTTGTTCGGACGGACGGAGTGACGTCAGCAAGAAACGCACACGTTTTGTGCCTGGGCACACATTATTATGTACGCCGTGGTGCACAATATAAATTGCCATAGTATAGTGATCGGTTATCTAACAAGTATATAAACTTGGGCTTCCGGGCCAAATCTATTAAATATGAAATTGTAGATCCAACAAAATTTTGGTATTTTTTACTAGCTCCACTTTTGGTCCAATAGTTATGCTGTGCAACCGTGTGCACCATGCAAAACGATGTCGTTTTGACTAAAAATACGTGTCTTATTTTTTTTTTCAAAAAAATCAGTTTCGATTCTCCTCAACAACATTATGTTGTTCATTCATTGTGGATATTTAGTTCATTGATTGTGGATATTTAGTTCATTGATTGTGGATATTTAGTTCATTGATTGTGAATATTTAGTTCATTGATTGTGGGTATTTAGTTCATTCATTTTGAATTTTGTGTTATTCATTCACTGTGGATATATAGTTATAAATTTGTGGATATATAATTCAAATTATGCACAAAAAATGCTATTG